TCTTTCAGAAGAGGGTAGGATGCGAGTTATCCAGCGATTGGAGAGAACAAATGGAAAAAGAATCCAAGAAGACAAGGACTGAGCCAAGTTTTGAAACAATATTTCCTGAAAAATAAAAATGCGACCAAGTGCTGGGAACAGGGATTAGAATCCAAGCTCAGTGACCCACAGAGCAGCTGGCTGAAACAAATTCATTCCAGTGTGGTTCGACCCATGGTGGGAAGCTAGCATTTATGGTAGAAAAATAGAAAAAGAATTTGTACTCTAGAGGAAAAATACACTTTTAATGTTTTAGTAGAATCTACCAGTTGAACTGCTTTAACACTTCAAAGGGAGGTTGTAGGTCAGGGTGTGACCTTTAAACAACCAAACACTGACAAACAACTAAAAGCAAAGGTATTTAACTGTGTCATGTACATGTGTTGATGTGAAAATGTATACATGAATGCAGGTGCTAATGGAGGACAGAAGAAGGTGCCAGATCCCCCAGATCAGGAATTACAGGTGGTCGTGAGCTGCCCGATATGGGTATTGTGAGAGTGGTATGCTCTTAACTGCAGAGCCAGCTCTCTACCTGCTCAGAGCACAGATTTTAAGTTTATAAGTGTGTGTGTGTGTACACATATGCATACATGTTTCCACATGCATGTGTGGACAGAGGCTTGAAGACAACTTCTGTGTCATCCCTCAGGAGATGTCCATCTCCCATCCACTCTTTTGGTAGTACTGGAGATTGAACTTAGGGCCTCACAGAGGCTAGGCATGTGTTCTACCAATGAACTACAGCCCCAGGCTACCTTGTTTTTTGAGAAAAGGTTTCTCATTGGCTGGAAACTTGCTAATTAGGATAGGCTAGCTTCCCAGTAGGCCCTGGGTTCTGTTTGCCCCAGCCTCCCCACAGCTTGGACTACGAATATGTACCACAGCACTTTTCAAATTTATTTTCTATTTTAATATTTTTGTATGTGTGTATGTATGTATGTATAAATAGTGTGTTATGTTTGTGTGTGAATATGGGCATGTCAAACTCAACAATCTCAGGGGTCCATCTTTTCCTTCCACCTAGTTTGAGACAGGGTCTCTTGTTCACTAAGACTTACACTGAGCTAACTGGCCCATGAGTTTCTGGGGAGTTTTCTGTCTCTGCTGCCTATCTCCCCTAGGAGCACTGGGATGTGCTACAGTATCTAGCTTTATGTGGGTCCTAGGGATGCAAATTCTGGTCCTCACACTTGCGTGCCAAGTACTTTATCCTCTGGACCATCCCCTCAGCTTCATACTTGGCTTTTTCACACAGGCTGTGGATTCCAAACTTAGATCCTCAGTACTTTAACAACAAAGCCATCTCCCTAGCCCTTGTCTCATATTTTTGAGATAGGGTGTATTAGTTTCTTTTCTGTTGTTGTGATGACCAAAAGCAACGTATGGGAGAAAGAACAAGAAGCTGAGAGTTCATAACTCAACCACAAGCATGAAACAGAGAGGGCATTCTGATGCAGGATGAGGCTGAATTTAAACTCTCGAAGCCTATCCCTACTGACATACTTCCTCAGCAAAGCTGTACCTTCTAGACCAGTGGTTCTCAGCCTGTAGGTCAAATGACCCTTTTACAAAGGTCACAAATCAAATATCCTGCATACTAGATATGATTCATTAACAGTAGCAAAATTACCATTATGAAGTAGCAAAGAAAATAATTTTATGGTTTGGGGGTCACACAACATGAGGAATTGTGTTAAGGGGTCACAGCATTAGGAAGGTTGAGAACCATTGCTCTAAACCTTCCCAATTAGCACCACTAACTGGGGACCAAGTATTTAAGAGCTGGCACCTGTGGGGGACAGTTCTCTTTTTAAAACACCACAGGCAATATTATATCAACCTCTTTACTTTTTGGAATGCTTGAAATAGTTCATAAAACGTAACATGTGTGTGCCTAGGAGATGGCTCAGCAGTTAAAGTGCTTGTCCTGCAGGGAAGAGGACTAGAATTTGGATGCACAGAATCCACATGAATGCTGGGTACCTAGGCAACCCATCTGTACTTCCAGCCTGTGAAGAGGATTCCGTAAGCTGGCTAGAGAGACTAGCAATGGAGGCCAGCTCTGGGCTTGACTAAGAAATCCTGTCCTAGAAAAATAAGTGGAAGACAAATCAATCACAAAACAGGCCCGATATCAACCTAAGGACACACACACACACATACACACACCCAAATACATATACCTGAAAAAGGAAAAAATAAAAATGTGATGTCTGGGTAAGGTATTACACACTTTTAATCTTAGCACTTGGAGGGAGGTAAGAGGATCTTGAGTTCAAGGTCTTCCTCATGTACATACTGAGTTCGAGGACTACCTAGATGATGTCTTTGCAAGCAAGCACAGTGATGCAATCACACACAGATAGGAAAGATTTGAGGACAAAACTGGAAACAAAAAAATAAACAAAACCTAATAATAGCAAGTGAAAAGTTTCACAGGAAAACCTTTTAGAATTTGCTGCAAATAATTTTGATGATTCCATTTTTATATTCTCTGAATCACAGCACTGACAGAGACTAACTGGAAGTTCAAAATAAAGAAAGTCCACATAGGACTAGAAATACAGGATCACAGTTTCCCATGTTTAAAGAGTAAGAGAAACATTCCAGTTGGGGAAGTTCTTAGTAAAGCATCACCTGAAAATAGTGGAGATGACAACAGGGACAACTGGCATCTAGCCACAAGAGTCTTACGTAATTAACCCCACTGAAAAGTGAAGGAACAGGGTGTCAGAGAACTAAGATCAAGGTTGGGTATGGTGGCACACACCTTTACTTGTGAGGCAGAGAGAGGTAGGTGGAGTGTTATAGGGTTAGGTTAGCCTGGTCTTTATAGTAAGCTCTAGATCAGTCAGGGCTATGAGATCTTGTCTTACAAATAGTAGCAGCAGCAGCAAAAACAAAAACCAAACAAACAAAAGAAAAAGAAGTTTTTTGCTTTATTCCTTGAGGCAGGGTCTTTCAATGAAATCCAGAGCGTACTAATACAACTAGTCTTGTTAGCTAGTCTGCTACTGGCTCTCTGAGGCTGGGATTGTGGAGGGCTGCCACACCTAGCATAGCATTTATATGGATTCTGGGGATCTAAACTCCAGGCTTCTTGCTTGCAGGACAAACACTGTACTACTGAGCCAAAACCCCAGTTCAAGAATGAATATATACTAAAGAGACACTCATGTCCTTTCCTTTGGTTATCACACCATTGAAAACAATGTTCTCCAAGGAATTGGAATTTCCCCCAGAAATCTCATATTGCAAGAAAAAAGAAAGGCTGAAATTTGGTGCCAAACAGAGAACTTGTCTCCTGAAAAAAAGATTTTACATAGCTCTGACAGTGATAGGAAGAAGCATACTTTACTGGGACTACGTTTGTGTACCTCCTGCCTTGCATTTAAACCTCTCATGTAAAAAATCCAAAAGATAGAAGGAAAGGGATATCTTTGGAACCCTGTTCTTCTCAATGTGGCCAAACTAAATCAATCTCCCTTTTTTGCGTTTCACTATTACTCGTCTGTTTAATTGGCTCATTGAGCGTCTGTTGCCAAGCCTGGTGCATTAGGGTTTCCAGGGTTCAGGCTCTGACCCTCACAGTTCCAGTAACACAACAATGATTACTGTCAATAACAATAAAATATGGCCAGGAGAAGTATTTTATGTTTCTTTCATCCTCCTCCACAAAACCACGGGGTGATCACTGGAGGGGAGCCAGGAGAGGGTGGAGACCGACCTGGCCGAGGTCGATCCTCTGGGCCCTTATTTGTCTGTGGGACTCTTCCTTCTCCAGGGAAGGTGTGCTATTTCTCTCCAACCCATCATGTCCAACCCTTCCTCCACCAAAGCTTTGGCTGAAGGAGGGAGAATATTGCTTTGTGGAATGGATGCTATAAGACACCCATTTTCTGGACTAATTCAACATTGCTTTAGTTTGGAGAAGGGGACCAAAAAGGAGTCCAAAGTGGAACTGAGATAAATTTGAAAGACCAATCTGAGGATAACTCCTCCCTCTTCGATCGAGTTCTGTGAGAACTGAGGTGTCCATTTTAAAGACTTTGACTACCACACATCTACTGCTTACCTGCTGTTGCTATCTTGGGGTCCATAAACCCCCAAGCTCCCCTTTGTAGTACCTACCTCCAGCCCTAGCTTCAAGCTGCTCCTTTGACAGCTTGAAGGTTTGAATGTGTCCCAGATCCTGGGGTAGAAGGCTGTGCTAACTAGGTCTCCCAAGAGAGACCCAGAAGAATTAGGCTATAGGTCTCCTTAGCCACACTTCCCAGCGGTTGGTATCCAGAATGTATTTACAATGAAGACCACCCCTCTGGTGGCCACTGAGGAGTATGCAGAACAGAAGCATGAGGAAGAGGACATTCATGAGTACTACATTAACCTGAAATTCTAACTTTGGTGAAATTAACCTTCACCAAAAAAATTTTAAAAGGTGGGTAATACATGTTTAACTGAGCACATATTTAAAAAATGTTATACATACTGTCTGTTGACCTGAAAATAAATAAAAAATTATAAACCAGACAGAAATGATATTGGGGACCTAAAGAGATGGCTCAGTTGGTAAAGTGCTGCTGTACAAGTCAGAGGATCCCCAGCCCTATGTAAAAAGCTGGGTGTGGTGGTGTGTGCATGTAATCCCAGCACTGGGAAGGGAGAGCAGGAGGAACCCTGGGGCTCACAGATCAGCCATACTAGCCAAAGTAGTGAGCTTCAGGCCAGTGACAGACACTGACTGAAAAAAGATAAAGGCTGATGGATTTTGAGAAATGACATGTAAGGGTGACCTCTGTCCTCCATGTGTACATGCACATATACCCACGCTTGCTATATACACATCTTCACATCGGGATGCAATGCACACACATAGTACCTAGAACCACGTCCTTATCCCTACACACTACCCATCCAGACAGGACATGTGCTTGAGCCACATCTTCAGCAAGACCTACCTGCTCCTGGGTCATCTTCTGCAGCTCATTCTCCCAAGCTGCCTGGTCATCATCTGCATTATAAGAAGCTGGTGGAGTGAGTCCACGAAGGATTAAGGGGTCTCGGTCATGGCAGAGGGCTGTCAGGTGTCCAATATACAACTTTAACTTGCTTCTATTTTGGTCAAGTTCTAAGAGGGGCTGGATGATCTGAGGTTGAAAAAAAAAAAGAGGAAAGTCAAGGTTAATCTGAAATGAGAAGTTCAAATATTCTTTATGCTTCCCAAACCAAGACAAAGCTCTTCTCAATCTTTATAATTATAAAAAGACACAGTGCTATTTACTGAGACGTGAGGAGGGATTATGGCTGAGCATATTGGTACCAGATGAAGTACTCTGCAGTGAGGCAGGAGACGGACCCAGGACTATTATGTATTACATTTTATCTATTTATTTTGATATGGATGCGACTATCATGGCATGTGTAGGGACAAAGGACAGCTTGTAGGACTCGATTATTTCCTTTCACTATGTGGGTCCTGGGATTGAACTAAGGTCTTCAGGCATGGTGGTATCTTTAATGTCAAGTCATTTTGCCAGTTCAGACTAGCTTGTTTTTACAAAGATGTTGTTCCTGCTGCCTAAAGTCTCCAGTGACCCCACAGGCACTCTGTGTACTTTGTTATGAGCAGATTTCAAAAGACTGCTAGTGAAAACTGCCCATCTGAAAGTCTGGGTAACACATTTCACCTAAGTCCTCCACCTCCCAGAATGGAAGAAAAATTCAGTCTCTGGAAAAGGTGCGTGTTGTTCTTGGCTGAGACCTGTGGTGAGATAACTCATTACTAAGTCTGTCTCACTCTGGCTGAGTTCCCTTCATTCATTTCTCAGAGCCTATCTATTCTTTCTCTGCAAACAGTGACTGGTAGATCTCTACACAACACCAAGTACCTGACTTACAGCCAAGGCTTGAAATCCTCACTTCTAACACTGGCTCTGCATTTTCCTTAAGAGACCTCCTATAATTTTTTTTTTCCTTTCTGGTTCCCTTTGTCCTTGGATTCTCTTTGGGAGTATACTGAATAATGGCTTCTGTCCCATGTTCCATGTGACAGCTTTGGGGACAAAACTCTGGCCAGGTATTGGCAGTGGGGTCACAGTCCAAGGTGATCAGAAAGATTCAGTCTAAGTCTTGCATTCCAGTATGCAGCTTGAACAGCAAGTGCAAAACTAATGTCAGCCACAGGAGCTGCCGGTCCTTGACAGAGTTCCCAGGGCTTACATCCAGAAATTTGTACCTGTTCCATGCCACTGGCCTGACATTTTTCTATTAACAAGACACCTTTATCATATCTCATGAATAAGGGACTAGATCATTTTCAAATAGAAAGAAACAAGGTCTGGTATTCATTTGAACACTGACACCAATTTCTCCATGAATCCCACAGAAAAAATTTTTACCTCAAGTTTAAGATAATGTAGACAGTGGGCCTGGCTAGACAAATCACAGGAGAGTGAATGAGTTTGGCATCACTCTAATTTATTCTCTCTCTCTCTCTCTCTCTCTCTCTCTCTCTCTCACACACACACACACACACACACACACCTTGTTTAAAGGTAATAACTGAACACTAAAGTGCTGTTGTGGGTAAAGGCTCACAGGCTTTCCAAGAGACCCCTGGTCAGCAGGCTCCTGTAGCAGTTCTGCACCAGCATTTCCCATCTATGACGGGAGATCAAAATAGCCAGTCAGAGAAGAAAGATGTCCCAGTCAAAGCAGAGGTTTAGAAAGCAAAGATTTAGATAGTTCTTCACAAACCACACTAATACCTCAAAAAGAATTGTGTTTCATTTCCGACCTCTAATGCATACTCACTGTGGAAAGAATAGAGATTGAGAGAGGCTGGGCATGGTGGTACATGCCTGTTAATACCAGCATTCAGGAGTCTGAGGGAGGAAGTCATGAGTGCGTTGGCGACTCTTATGTCAACTTGACAGGGGCAAGAGTTATCTGAAGGGAGGAAGTCTCAACTTAGAAAATAGCTCTATAGAATAAAGCAGTAGGACATTCTCTTAATTAGTGATTGATGGAGGAGGACCTAGCCTATTGTGGGTGGTTCCATTCCTGGGCTGGTGGTCTTGGGTTCTATAAGAAAGCAGGTTGAGCAAAGCCATGGGAGCAAGCCAGTAAGCAGCACTCATCCACTGGTTTCTACATCAGTTCTTGTCCTCAGGATCCTGCTCCTTTTGAGTTTCTGTCCTGACTTCCTTCAATGATGAATAGTGATGTGGAAGTATAAGCCAATAAGCTTTTTCTTCCACAAATTGCTTTTGGTCATGGTGTGCTGCAGCAATAGAAACCCCAACTTAGACAGTGAGTTTGCAACAGTGTGACCCTGTCTCAAAAATAAACTAATATTTTCTATCCAACTCATATTATAGGTAGAATACAGTTATAGGGCTGGAGAGATGGCTCAGTGGTTAAGAGCACTGACTGCTCTTCCAGAGGACCTGGGTTCAATTCCCAACACCCACATGGCAGCTCACAACTGTCTGAAGATCCAGTTGCTGGGGATCTGATACCTTCACACCAATGCACATAAAATAAAGTTAAATAAACCATACAAATATTTAAAAAAAGAATACAGTTATATACAAAATAATGGGGTTCCTTTGTGATCTTTCCTCACCCCCCTACCAAAGTACTGAGAATCAAACCAAGGGCCTTGCACACATTAGCCAAGAGCCACTGAGCTATGTCTCTAGCTCTTGCTTTATTATGTTTGAGACAGTAACTTATTGGGTTGCCTTAGGCAGGCCTTGAACTTGCAGTGATCCTCCTGTCTCAGCCTCCTATGCCATTAGGTCTGTGATATTGTCACACATATATGTAATAGACGTTGATAATACTGATCTCCTAACCTTCCCCTCTTTCTGATGATCTTCCCTTCTGCTTTCACGTCTTCCCCACTTCCCACACCTCTTGAGTCCACATCCAAGGAAAAACATACAGTTTTGTGTGTATAAACACATATGTATATATCCACACATAAGCTTATTTGAATATACCTATATATATTAAATTGTGAAAAAGTTAAAAATGGACTTTTCAAGATATATTTGTTATAATCAGAAGGTAACATCCAAATATGAATGTTTTTACCATTCTATGTTTATCAAATTTTATAGAATGTGTCTATGAGTGGTGGTGGTAATTGAACCCAGGGAGACATACATATTAGGCAAGTGCCCTATCATTGAGCTATATTCTTCTTTTTTAAAGATTTATTTATTTATTTATTTATTTATTATGTATACAACATTCTGTCTCAATGTATGCCCGCACGCCAGAGGAGGGCACCAGATGTCAGTACAGATGGTTGTGAGCCACCATGTGGTTGCTGGGAATTGAACTCAGGACCTCTGGAAGAGCAGCCAGTGCTCTTAACCTCTGAGCCATCTCTCCAGCCCTTGAGCTATATTCTTTTTTTTTTTTTTTTTTGGTTTTTCGAGACAGGGTTTCTCCGTAGCTTTTTGGTTCCTGTCCTGGCACTAGCTCTTGTAGACCAGGCTGGCCTCGAACTCACAGAGATCCGCCTGCCTCTGCCTCCCGAGTGCTGGGATTAAAGGTGTGCGCCACCACCGCCGGGCTTTGAGCTATATTCTTAACTTTATTTTTAATATAAAATTTGAGAAAAGGTCTTGCTACAGTATCCTAGCTGGTCTTGAACTTGAGATCCTCCTTCCTCGGCCTTGAAAGTAGATGTGATAATGACTATATAACCAGGCCCAGTTCTACAGTTATAAATGTTAAGGAAAATAAATTATGAAAGGAGAGATTTTTTTTGTACTAGCTGAGAGGTGTTTCTTAGTAAGCGGATTTGTTGTAATAGCTTCTCTAACTATCTGGTTTCAGGGGCCAGCTTCTGATGGCACTAGGAGAAGGGGACAATGGTTTGAGGTGTTTGTTTAAACTTTATTTTTACTTAGCTAAATAACTAGTGGGCTTCTGAAAAACTGAGAAATCATTTTTGTATTCTTCAGGATGGAGTAAAGGAAGATTCTACAATATTCCATGTGTATGGTTCGTTACCTATGAGATCTAAACACACAGGTCATTTGGCATTTCAATACCACGATAGAAAAAATAAAAACACTCCCTACTTTACTGCATCCAGTCAACTAAGAAGGCCTGTTCTCTTCTTACTCTATTCTTGGGTTATTTGTTTGTTTGGTTTGTTTTGTCTTGAGACAGGGACTCCCACTATAAGCAAGTTAAAAAAGGATGCCATGTGGGACCCACAAATAATGTCATCTGTTCACATACAACTTCAATACATTATGATACTTGATGCAGAACTTGTGATCCTCTTGTTTCAGCTTCCTAAATGCTGGGAGGTCAGCTCTACTAAACTAGGCTCCACGCTGTCCTAAGTCAGGGTTAGACCCGGTTACAACCCTCTGAGAAGTTATCCATGTCCGTATCACAAGGGTCAGATGAAAAGGTGCTGAGTATTACTATAACCTAAATTACTTGCCCTCAGGAAAATAAATTCTATTGTTTGGAAGATGGCTTTTTAAAATTACATTTACTTATTTGTGTGCTTGTGACATGATAAGCATGATAACATGACAAGGCCAGAGGACAACTTGAGTGGGTTAGTTCTCCCCTTCCACCATGTGGGTCCTGGGGATTGACTGAACTCAGGTCAGCAGGCTTGGCGGAGTGCCTTTATCTGCTGAACCATTTCTGTTCTTTCAGAAGACTGAAGTTTGGTTCCCAATACTGATGTTAGGAAGCTCACAATTGGCTGTAATTCCAACTCCAGGGGACCTGATGTCCTTGTGTATACACACACACACACACACACACACACACCAAAAAAACCCACAACAAACAAAAACCCTTAAAAGTTCCTTATATATGTGTCAGTCACTCTCAGTCTTCCCGGAAACTTACTTTTATATCTACTGCGAGTCTTCTGTTGCTGCTCATAGTTTTTGAATTGGCTTTAAAATCTGTGTTCTTTTTAGTTGCTGACATCTTCAGAGAAAGAGTTAGCTGTTCGTGTATACGGTGGTTTGAAAATAAATGGCTCCCAAAAGGAGTGGCACTATTAGGAGGTGTGGCCTTGCTGGAGTAGTAGGACCTTGTTGGAGGAAGTATGTGGGGGGATGAGCTTTGAGGTCTCCTATGCTCAAGCTACACC